TAGTGAGTCTATAACCGCTGAAAGAATATTATAATGTTTGTGATTATCTCTAATGAATATATGGTCGATGCAACTATTGGTTAAAGGTCTTGTGGGGCAATTAATGTATTGGATAAAGTTAAAAGAATTTAATAAATCGTAGTATAGTGTTGTAGAGTTTGTGGTGTCAGATAAATTTATGTTCATATCACCTATTAGTATTAATGTAAGTTGTCCATAGGAGTTAAATATATTAGAAATTATTACCTCGAGATCCTCGATAAATTTTATAATATTTCCACTAGGAGATCTATACACTGATATTATTCCATAATTGATTTTATTAAATGTTATTGTTGTAAACAGACAGTTCGCATCTTGTATTATAAATTCCGTCGTGGTGTAATTTATATCTTTTTGAATAAATATAACTATGCCGTCTGATTTGCGTATATGATTTTTAGTAATTGAAGATTGATAATTATTTAACGAGATATATTTTTGATCAATATTATTACCTAACCATGATTCGACTGTAATTATGATATGGCTTTTATTCTTAATTGCTGCATTTAGACAGTCTAGTTCAGATATGTGATTAGCAATACTTCTAATATTAGTAAATAATATGTTAAAACTGGTTTCATTGTTATATAGTTGTGTGTTAATCTCATTAAGTGAATTAACTGTTGTATTTTCTTTATCAATGATGTCGAAAAGTGTGTTAATTGATGTCATTAAGATAGTTTAATTTATTATTCATCCCTATTTTTTCTTTTTTGTGAATATAATGTAGTCTGTTATTAAAGTAAACAAAATAGGTATAATATCGATAAGTTTCTAATGAAGGTCTAATAGCTAATGTTTTAGGTAAAATGTAAAGAAATAAAAATATGTATGAAATAATCATTGTATAAAAATATAAAGTATATAAAATAATGTATGAAGTATAAATTTAAGATATGTGTATTAAGTATTTAATGTTTACAAAAATTATAATGACAGAAGATCTTTACCTGACTTTATTCGAATGATTTTTGAGTTTTCGTCCTTTCTGATGAGAATGTCTGAGTTTGTTATCCATACAAATTTATAATTTTTTTCTTTAGCCGTCGATCTTGTGTTCGCAAATAGAATTCGTTTGTCCTTGGTTAAGCGCTCGTTAATGAATATTTTATTATCGGTTGACCAATTAACAGATAACATGTTTGCATTAAGCTTAATTTTTTTCGATGAATGTATAAGATTTTTTCTCATTTCTGCTGTTTCAAGTTTTGCTATTATTATTGGATAGCTGTTATTTGATGTTGATAGTCTAGTTGCTTCTGTAGTTGTAACTGTGGTATTTAATTTTTTTGCGATCTGTTGTACGATAGCAAGACAATTTTCATTCGGAGATTTTGGTATTCCTTTTATTTCAACGCTGATGCCGAGGTTGTGTTGTTCAAATGAATCTAATTTTTGTTTGATTTCTAGGATTTCGTTAGATAATCGTAGGTTTTCAGTTTTGATTTTCTCATTATCGTTTCTTAAAAGTTTCATTTCAATTAATGATGATTCTAATTTTTTATTAAAATCATCGAACTGATTGCTCATAAAGTTCACTGATTTAATTATGTCTGACATTTTTGTGTCCAGTTTTGCTATTGGGTCATTGATTGTTTTAAGATCAGAGCTTTGGCATGTAACACACGAAAATCTGGATTTTGTGTTTTTTGTCATTTTTTTGAAATTTGCTTCAGTGACCCCAGTGCAATAAAAGTGGAATTTTGATGCGCAAACATTGCATTCTAATGTGTCCTCATTGTGAGTGAATTTTTCATCACATTTCGAGCAAGAAATTTTAAAATACGATATTTACGGACGTTGTACTCTGTAGATTAGTTAGGCGATGGAACACTACGTTGCGTATGGACGTTGTATTCTGGATTTCATTATTTACTTCCCCAACTTCTTGAACTGTAGACTGCGCAGTTTCTTTTTTATACTCATACTTTATTGGCCGACAGTATCTTGTAGAAGAAGTTCGAGGATTTTTCCACAGAATTTTTTTATTTTCGGAACTATAGGTGGAACATCGGAGTTGTAATGGCACCAAAGAGAACATAAATAAGTCGCTGTCATTTGAATTTGTTGACGTTGAAAACCGTTGTTTGTATCGTGATTGCCCGTTACTTCCATCACATCCCCATTTATAAATTAATTCAAAATCAAACATACCCTGTTCCAGAGGTAGTACATTTTCGATTTGAAATATTCGGGTGCATGTGTGGTCAAGAAGATTCTGAATTGGAATTTTGCAAAACATTTCAGTTATATTTATGTTATTTGGGTAGCATTTTTTTTTCGAATCTAAAATTTTTTCATAACTTGGATATATATTGGCATTGCGTAACTTTGCCGATTTCCTTATGTTTATATGTAGGGTAACTTCACCAGTGAATGAACACTTTACGTGTTATTATTTGATCTCTCACTTCATAAAATCATTAAAAATATAATTTTTTGGCTGTATTTTTAATAATGATCTTAAAATTCTTATTAAGAATTTTAATTTTAGTTTATATACTGAAATTGTAATATATTTGTAAAAACATTTTATTAATTTAAGTATAATTACATAAATCTGATTTACCAATGAATGAACACTAATATTTTGGGAATGAACATTCAAATTCCAATGAATGAACAGATAGGTATTTTAAAATAAAAATATTTGAAAACAACTTAAAGAATTTTAATTTTATTTCTTCTGAAGGTTACCTACCTTATTTAAAATTTAAAAATTTAAAACAAAATTAAAAATTATAAAACAGAACTAAAAATTATAAAACAGAATATATTTATAACAGTTAATAGCTATTAGGTAATTAACAAATAAGAAATTGTAATCTTAAAAATACGTTGTATCACAAACTTAAAATTAAATAACTATGGTAATAACTGGTACTGTCCTGGGTAGTTAGATTATATCTTTAGTAACTAGGTAACTGCTTTGGTAACTATTTTGTTTTTCTCAACTCTGTTATTTCAGGTACACAGAATATTTTTTCTTCCGCGTTTACTAAAGAGGGCTGTTCGATTTTCTGTATAATTGAACTTGTAGGGTACCACAACACATCTTTGATTTCTGGCCACTTCCACTCTGCTTCAACGATAACCATTGCACTTATTTCATACATTTGTATTTTTTTTTTACTTTTCTAATTATACCGGGAAAATATTCTTTTTCATACTCAATAATAACATAGTCTCCGACTTTATAATCACATAAAATATAGTTCGTATTTTTCTTAAATTTTTTTGGCGGAACTACAGGTTCAGATTCAGAGTCAGATGTAGAACCGTTATCATTACTTTCTTTTTCATTTGCTGCAATTTGTTTTTCTTCGGCAAGTTTTTGTTTTTGTATTCTTGTTTCTCGTCTTTTTTTAATTGCTTCTTCCTTTTCTTTTTTCTCGGTTTCTTTTTCTTCTTGAATGTTTCTCCACTGTTCAGAAGTTATGGCATAAGGTACAGGAGGTTTACTATTTTTTTTGTTAGGATTGATCATTTCAGCACTTGTTGGCCACGGCATATGTTTTAGCCATAAGTCATCTAAACTACCCAGTGTGCACTGGATGTTTCAACACATCCCAGAAACAAACATTTTACGTAGTACAATCAACGTAACTTTTTAATATGTATACAATGTTCTTGTTTAAATAAAACAAACATTTAACACTCATCCCGGCGATATAACTGGTACTATATGATAGTACAGACCTACAATGTTATAAATTATATGTCACAGGGTTGTTACATTATTGTGATTTGTAATACGTACCAGCAACATAATATTGATGTTTCAGTTTTTCACGAAACTATTAATATATTCTATAAAAATACACTCTATTGGTTTTACCCATAGGCCATAAGTTAATATTTGTCACCACCCGCCGACGTTAAACATTTTATTAAATTAATTTTATGAATTTTTAAATAGTTTAATATACTATATTATAACTTATTCATGATGTCATCAACAATGACTGGAGAACAATGTGAAAATGAGACTAAGGTGAGTACTAAATACTTACTACTTATTACTACTGTATTTGACTGCAGCCAATTGAACTTAATATGTTATAACTTTAATAATTTATTTTGTTTCAGTCATGGTGTGTGGTATGGTTCACAGATTCTAAAGAATATAGTGTAATTCCAACTAATTGGATTGTAAAAAATAATGAATCTCAAAGTGATTCATTATTTTGCAAATGGCCCCCTTATAAGGTCACCAGTGACCATTTAAAAAAAGCCATAACTCCATCCCAGTCATGGGGAACTTATAGGGTGAAATTTGTTGGTGTCAATAAAACTTATGGTAAGTGCCTTTACTTATTCTTAAATGTTTGTGCTAAATTATTTGATCCATTTCACAGTAACCTAATCAACTCTTGTTTGCATTAGGTAATTTTGTTCATGAGTTCATGACCTATGTAGCTTCTATAGTTGAATTAGGTTTAAATAAAAAGTTAAATCATCAGACTTTAGCAATGTGAGTAGGTATATAACATTGTAAATTCTTCCTCCAATTTGATTAATGTAACCCAGGTAACAAATGTAACAAATGAGCAAATATATAATATGTGACTAGGAAGGTACCTAGGTGTTTTAAATTAGATAGGAACCTAAACAATTACTGGATATTGGAATGTTTATACAATGATAATTGGGAAGGACAATATTATTTTTACTCACTTTTTAACTTTTTAAGTATTCTTAATATCAACACTATTAAATTTCATTTTTCTTTGTCATTATATTCTATTTAGTAACTTGTAAAGTGGATTTATTCCATTATTCAATATAGATTATAGATTATATGGATAAATAATTTTAGGTTAACTTTGTTATTATTAAAATTTAGGTATATAAACATAATTGTCCTTTAACCAACACAGTTTATAATATTACATTTAACCAATCTGGATTTTAATAAAATGTAGAAATAATATTATACTGTTTACCCACCTACTATTTCAAAAATCCATGGAAATCAACATTTTTTTTTGATATTTTATTCAAAATAAAAGAGTTGTAAACAATTAATAATAATAGACTCAACGTTTGTTTTTATATTAAAAACAGGATTTAAGTATTCATTAATATCCTAAAAAAAAAAATGTGTTTATATTACTCTGTAGGTTAACCTATCGAATAAATATGTGTGAGTAGTGTGTACATAATATTATTTTATTGTTTTATTTATGTTATAAATTATAAATTATAATACTGCACCTAACTACAAAACTATTTTTTAATGTTAATCACATAAGATAAATTGATTATTATTTTTAGATAACTTCGACAAGGCATGGCATAAAAAAGTAAAAGAAAAATATTCTTCAACGGACACAAATGATGATTCATCAAAAAATAAAAAATAAAGACTTCTTATGTGTCCTTCTGATGATACTGATGATGATGATAATGGTAATATTTTTTAAAGTTTTGTATCTAAAACTAACTATGTAGCATATTTATTAGGTTTTTTTAATTTTATTATTAATTAATATGCAGGTATCAATTTTAACATATTGCCATGTAAACAAGTAGTAAGTACTCCATCAGTTGCCCTGGAACCAATTAATTATGGAGCTTCTACCTCATCTATGATTAGTCAATTCTATGCAGAAAATAACGTGAACGTAGAAGAAACTAAGCAATATACCGAAATGCAGCCAAAAACAGTTCAACAACTAGAATATCCCCAAAATCATTCATTCGCTGAGGTAATAATAACTATTACAATCTCAAATTATTCAATATCTAATATTGTAATATTTCTTAGCTACAATACATTTATTAGGTTTAGAGGGTAATCAATTTAACATAAAAAACTTATTAATTCAAAAACTATTAAAGTAAATTAAAATATTTATTTTTTTATTATTTTACTCGGTACAAGTTATATGTCACTTGGTATACAATTTGTTTTTTCTGTTGGCTACAGTATTTGTAAAATATCAATTAACTTAAGGAAAAATATCAATATTATCTATGTTTGTTCATGGTGTAATCACTTAAAATGGGGTTAACTGCATTCTCTTAATTTTAAGTTTGATCATCCTTTTTTAAAAATTATATAGTTTATACAGTAATAGAGAACACAATAATTAATACATTTAATTGTTAGCTTTTTAAATTTAAATTATAATTGTATGTTTTTTAAAATAATAATCTTTCATTTATATCATTAAAATCTAAATTGAACTGTATGAAATAGCTAACACAACTAAGTAATTTATATTATTATTATTATTATTGTACAGGATACAAGTTGTTTTATTCCTGTATCACACGATTCACCTTTAAATTTCAATGGTAATTATAATAAATAATTCTTTGCATGTATTACTTACACATTTCATAAAAACATTATTCAATATTTAGAAAATGATAGATGCTCATCTCAAGTTGATGAAAAATTAAATAAAATAATTTCGGAGCAAATTGGAATCAAATTATTGTTGAATCGCATCTTGTCTAAACTAGAAACTAACTCATTAGGTAATAATAGTCAAAAATCAATCAATTTGAATGAAAGTTTTGTATGCAAATTCCCCATGAATGATACCGAAGACTTTGCATCAGTCCAAAACTGTATTTTAAATGAATTTGATTTCAAATCTAAACTGGTAAATAAATATTAAAATTACAACTTAAATATTTGTTAA